TTTACCCAGCCTCCCATTGGTGATGGCTTGGCCAGACCACTGACCCAGTCTGTGGGACCCCTACCTCCGGGGGGTCTCACACCGAGCAACAGTCAGGGTTCAACGGTTCTCACAAAATTCACGCACGGATCTAGCAGTGGGATCGGTAGTCTCAGCCTCGTGAGCAGCTACGCATGTCCGACAGCTACCAGTCCAACTCGGATGGGTAGTGGCAAGATTGTAGACGGTGCCAATGACTATGATCTACAAGTAAAGATGCGGGAAAGTGGAAGCTTCGCGAAACCTCCCTACCTCGCCTCCGAGACCGGATTTTCCCCAACATTCTCCGATATCATGCAGGTGCCGAGTTTCCCTGGACCAATGAGAGGGATGCAAAACTTCCAGTACAGTAATTCCCCTGCCTCAACGAGCTCTAATAATACCACTTACAACGCAAGTTTAGCTAATAATGGTAACTGCAGTAGTAGCATGAGTAAACAAACTAACACAGAGCAGAGGGTTACAAATCCAGTCACTGCTGATACCATGTTCAATGCTCGCATGAACCGAGGTACCATGTTTTAAGTTTTTTCTCAAAAACTAGATACGCCGCCTCCCCCAAACAAATCTCATTCTTCGGGTCCACATTAATGACCCCATCTGGGCCTCTGCCCCACTGTTATGGAGCCAAATCTAACGGCCAACTTCCGGTTTACCTTGTGCAACGTCTGCCCTCTGTTTAAAAATTCACAGATCCCATCGACATATACGGTTTATTGGTGAATATATTAAAACCAATACTCATATATAATGTCATTGCACGTAGTTGCAGTTACTTAGCAAACTTTTACCCATGACATTGGAAACTTTTGCGTCCCCTAATCTGAAACTGGGGCATATCATTATGCGATTACTGCATTCACCTTTGCTTATTTTTCCCTGCTTACCTTGATACAAGCCTCTTCTTTTTGATTTTACATTGTCGGAGTATTTTCTTTCACTTTTTTACAAGTGCACATTAGTTCAGTCAGCTTCCACTTACCCAGAATGGGGTAGTCCATTTATCCTGACCACTCACTGGCGGTTCATACAACCATGAAGCTTTGTTGGAACAGTATCACGGTATTGGTGGACCGAAAAGCAGTTGAAACAATACCTGGGCCATCCGGGATGGCCATTCTTGGCTTGTATGTGGCCGTCCTCGTCGTCAGCCAGCTATATCTCTTTCGCAGACCAGATAGTCCTCCTGCTTACGGTATCTGTGTGTATTTTTACCTGCAAACCAGCTAAGTCGATGAATGCAACTGGTGGATACCAGGGTTTTTGGCCTATGCATCCTGGTCTACATATATAAATCATGCATTTTGGTGCGAGTGTGGAAAATCAGAACAAGAAGAAGCGATCACTGGAACTGTGGAGAATTTCATAAATAGGGATTTCACGCGTGAGCAAGCTGAACTCTATCACACAAATATGCCATCCTGAGTGATATCGGGTACATGTGTCAGAAATCAAATTTGGAACGGAAAATCACAGAACAAATGATAAAACTCCTGAAATGTGTATGAATTTCCCAATAAGGACAAATTACTCAGGAATTCTCCGAAGGGAAAATGGATGAAAATATAACGAAAGCAACATTCCGTTCCTTTAGACCATTGTTTCGAGAAAAACTTGGAGTCAAAAATCCGCATGATGTCTTTTATCGTTTAAAAGACATGTATAAAACTATGCAGTAAAGACGGATACGACAAATAAAATAACCAAAAAGAACTATTTAACTAGAATTTACCACACCTGCCTTAAATAATACCATAAACTAGATGCATTCTGATAATTGCAAGATGACATCCAATTTGCTGAAGTGTTGAGTTATTTTGGCCAAAAGTGTAGTTTTTGCCTTGTTCGAAAAACTCCCGGCCATGGCTAATGGGTATTTGTTTGATTTCCTGGTAGGAGAACTCGCAGGAATAACGGTTGCTGTAAAATCACTTCTCAGAAAGTTGGTATCGACAAACAATATGGAATACACATCGCATACAATTTTCGGTCATTGAAGAGATAATTTACTGTGAAAACTACTATATCCTATTTCTAGTAATTATGAAGTTCTTGGTTCTTTAGGCTTTCTTAAGCATTATCGTCCTTGATCTCCACAGTCAATTTCTGGAAGATATCCTCTCCTTAAGTTCCTCCTGTTAAAAACGTAATTTTAGGAAACCTCTTGAAGGCATTAACTTATTTAATTTTTCCCCCGAGTAAAGTTTATCCTTCGTCTCACCTTCTCGAACTGTAGGTATAAACAAACTTGAAAGACTGCTCTCACCGCCGAAGAAAATATACCTAAATAATGATGTCTTGATTGGCAGCAACAACCCTATATTCAGTGAAGGATAGAAGCTGCAAAAAATAGGCATCAAAATGATACTAAAGACGCAAATCCCATGTCAAGGAAACTGCTCAACACATATAGATGACGCGTTATTAAGTATTCGGTTTTAGACCGGGTGCACGCTAAAGTCGTAGAACTAAACGGCCACCGTGGTAAATTACCAACGGCGTGAATTTGCCTGCTGAAACATAATGATCCTTAAATCTGCGCTTGAGCATAATGGTACTATGAGGTTATTATCATATCCAAAAATCGTGAATATTTGCATAGGTGAGACTTCATAAAGTTACTTGTGATCCAACCTTATGATTCACCGTTCTTATGTTGGTAGTAAAATAAAGGTTGAGGCACGGAAAGATGGATTCCCTATATTACATGCTGCCTCACGTTAGGGCTACAGCAATAGGAGTTAATGTTAGTGATGGGGTTTATAGGGTTATCTATAAGGGGATTAGAGTCGGTGGACCTCTGGAGCTTCTCTAAATGGTAAAACGTGGACATAGGAACCCCTCATTCATAATACCTGTGGACATGTGTCAAACTACAGGGGGAATAGGGTAAGGGCTACGGTTATTGTCAAGGCTAGACTGAAGATTTTGTGCAAGGTTAATGCTGTTGTTGGATTTAGAACACGGGAAGATGTAGCCTTCCTGAAATTTTATTGCAAGCCCACCTGTCTTACAGGGGTGCTTCCTATTTCTGTCTATTACGGTCTGCATGCTCCAGGCGTCAAAGTTGACAAATATGTTTCGGCCTTCACCCTCACAGTGTATTCTGCGGATACAGTGGAAGATCTTTGGTAGTTTCTCTGAATTTGTGGTAATTGCTGAACAAGAAGCGATTCTGTCTGACAACTGCTGCCAAAATTGCGCGGACAGCAAAGAAGTTTGTTTAGGCTATTTCATTTTGCAAGATATCTAAAAGAACTCCACAAATCGCCCCTAGAGCACGGAGCACGTCGAATTTTTCTATAAGCACAGTCGTTTAAATCCGTTCTTGATGTCTCACGTTCAATATCTTTCGGAGGTGAAACTGGCTGAAGCTTCTAGCAGTCAACGTCTCCGTCCCATAGAAGAGTACGCTTGGGACAACAGTTCTATGGCTCTCCAGGGTTTTATCTTAAATGGGATGTTGCGAGGGTTCGAGAAGGAGTGCTTTAGTCGGCCAAAGGCTTGGTTGGCTTCGGAGATTCATCTTTCTAATTTTTTGTCGATCTTTATGTTTACTGAATCGTACGCTTAAAGCATGCGAACTTCTCCTCTGCTCTCAGGTGAACCCCATTAACATTGACACAGGGGACAGTGTATATAGTATTTGGTACCGACTGGGGCCCAAAGACTGTCCTCTCCGTATGGTTGGTTAATCCGAAACTGAAACAGCCGGAGTCGACGGACTTCACACTCCAACTAACATCCTCTTCCGTCGTCGTGCTTAGTGCGCAGTCATCCGTACCCAATGGGGCGTGAATACTATCATTGGATACCCTCGAACACGCACACAGGCGACTGATATTGAGCAGCTTTCCGGTGGCTCGATAGTTGATGTTGATCCTCGACTGCTCCACACGCCGGGTTCCCCCGTCGATTTCGACGATGGGCACCACGCGCTCCAACAAGCCGCAGCCAACGCTGAAGCAAGCCGCAGCATACACATAGGCAAGCTGGGCAAGCAACACG